ACAGAAATTAAGGCAAAATAAAGTAGTTATTACAGTTAGTGCTTGGCCTCTCATATTATTTGTGATAGGAAGAAACTGAACAAAAGAACTGAAGGAAAAATGGGAAAATTTGTGAGGTATGAAAGAACCAAAGGGACTGATGTAAAAAAGGGAAAACGTAGGTGTAGGTTATATAGGCATGGTCCAATATCTTGGGTTAGTAGTCCATTACAGATGTCTGCTTCATGTCCTAATAATTTTAAATTTCAAATCCTGTTGGTTGAGCAGCACAGTTAGGTATAACAGCTTTCTTTAAATGGAAAATGTGAATCCAAGACTTTTGAAAGCAGAAACATGTCTACCTACTCACCACTGTTAACCTCAGTGCCCAGCACAGTATCCACACAGATATGTAAAATAAAACAGTGGGCTATAAGGGAGATGAGGGAGGGAAGAAGAGAGGGAAAGGGAAAGGGAAGAGAAAAAGAGAAAGAATCTGGAAGAGGAGACAGATTATCAGAGTGCAAACGGATGCTTTAGATTTAGTTTAGAAGGTGTTATTTTACAAATTTTTGTTTCAGCTTTATGTATACACATACATATACATGCATGTGTACAAAGTCATTATGTAAAATGTAATTTTTGCCATGAGTCACAATCCAAAGTTTTGAAAACACTATACTACTAAATTCCAAAACACACTTTACAACTCAGCTCATTGCATTTATTCCAGTGGTTCTCAACTTTTATTTTTTAACCTGACTTCCTTAGGCAATATGATACTTCCCCACAAGAAAAATAGCTCAAGATAGTCATGAGAAAAATGCATTTACTATTCCATTCATGTGGGTTATTCTTATGTCCCTAACAACCTTAAGATCTCTGAAGAGGGATCTGCCTCTCCCTCTTTCGTTTCCCTCATAGTACTTAGCAAGATATTAGCACATTCAGTAAGTACTTAGAGTTGATTACCAGTTGCTCTACTGAATAATTACATTAAAATTAACAAAAACTACTGCTACACTGACATACCAAAAATAAAAAAGGGTGAAAACCCTAAGCACATTAAAACACAAAAATAAAATAAACAAACCTAAGTACAATTTTGTGTATTAACAAGCCTTGCTAAATGCTACAATGAAAGATTCTACCAAACCATCTGAATCACATTATGTTCTCTGAAGAAACAGTTAAGTCCTGCCTTTTGGAGCTTGTATAGGCAGTACTTTTTAAACTACCTACACAAGTAATAGTATTTGAAAAGGGACCTGAAAGGTTAAAAATTCAACACAAAGGTGTTACTTACTCCAGTCCCCTATATTCACAAGTTTTCAATTCATCTCTGTTATAGATTTACCTACCATAAGAGCATCCTCATCCTTCCATACCTGTTTCTACAGGTCTAAAAAACTTAATATACATCTGACTCACAGGACTGAACCAATAAAAGTGCACTCTTTATTTTGATCTTTGGTCTCATCAGCTAAAATGGGAGACTAGGTAAATTCAGAACATGTTCTCAAGATACTAAAGACAGGATGAAGGGCCAACCACTGTCTACCTCTCCATCTCTTGACTATAGTTAAACTCCCTAGCCACAACCCACAGCATTCACCATATCCTATATTTTAAAAATTCTTTGAGCACTTATCCATGGCAGGTTCAATGCTAAGTGTGAGCATAAAGTCCCATCTTTGGAACTCAGTCTAGTGGATAAAACAAAGATCCAGTCAGCCCACTATTATTTACTATATGCCTACAATTGTGAAATGACTTTATTGCTTTAACATAGCCAAGTCCATTCAACTCAAAACTTGTTCCTACTTGTCTCATATGGTTCGCTGTTTAAAGTACGTTTTGTTCTTGTTTTCCCCAATCTGAATAAGCTTTTTTCCTGTTTCTCCTAACTTCACATAGCCAAGCAAAAGACTGGCACAAACGAGGCACTCAGCAAGTTTAATGGGAAATAACTGCTCAGGAGCAAGACAAGTGCCTGGCTGTCCCGAACTTCCCCCTAGTGAGACGTCTTCCTCTCCCCCATCCCCCGCCCCCAGTCTCATTTAGTATCGCTTCCCATAGCGGGGAAGGGCTGGTAGTCAACTGTTCCAAACTCCTGGGACAAATGGCAGCACGCATCCTATAAAGGGCAAACTCCAGGGAGATGTCTGGGTCTGAGAGCTGGTTGTTTTGACGCGAACCCCCACCTCACCCTACACGAAAGGTCACCTTTGCCCACAGTCACCGAATCTCTCTCTGCACTTCAGTTTCTTCGTCTGTTAAGTGGAGCTGAGAATCCTACCTCTTGGGCTCGTGGTGAGGAAAAAAAACACTGCCTGGAAAGTTCTGAATGCACACAGGAACTACTCAGTAAAGGTGCAGGGGTTACTCTTCTGAAATACTGTAGGATGACAAAGCTAAGGGGGCGCAGGCTGAAGATCCGAGCGGGAGATGGGGGGAGGGAGACTGAGGGAAGCCGGTAGGCCAAGCAAGGCTGACTAGGCGGGAAACCGCGCCGGGAAGAGCGGGAAGCGGCGGAGGCGGGCGGGCGCTGCTTACTGCTCTGGCGGCGGCAGCTGCATCCCCTTACCCGCTCCCCACTACTCTACCATCCCCTTTCTGGCCTCTCACCTCGCTTGATCACATGCATCGCAGCTAGTGGCTGAGGAGGCACGGATTCGAAACGGGTTTGCAGCGCGGAGGCGCCGGCAGGATCTAGGTTGGTAGAGTGCGAACGGTCGAACTCTAGAGACTGCAGAGGTGCAGCGAGTTGCGTTGGACCACAGAGCACTTTCCTCCGCAGAGCAAAGGCGCGGCAATCCGAATCTCCTTCCCGCTCCCGCCACCCGCGACGCAAAAGCGACGCGACGTAGCCCGACTGACGCTCCTCGACGCTGCCAGCGCCCCGGCCAGTGGGCAGTACTAGCAAAGCAGAAAGTCAGCCTCAACCAGTAACCGCCCAGACGAACCTAGGCGGGGCCCAGGAAACCGCGCCACTCCCAGCGCAGCAGGGGTGTGGGCACGCCCAGGGGAAAGGCAGCTCTCTGGCCGCCATATTAAATATGGGCAGACCCCAGCTGACGGCTCCTCTCACACAGCCGCATTAGGTGGACTCGCCTAAAGGGAATTCTGATCTCTCGCCGCCATGTCAGATGTGGGCAAAGCCAGAATGGAGCCAGGGACAGGACCTAGCACGCTGAGCCAGCCAGGCTGGCCACTTCCCTCTCGGCAGCGCGTCCCTGCTGAGGGTAAGACGATTCAAGTATTTTTGAAATAACAGCTAAAAACCAACCATCCAAAACACTTTTTCTTGTCTTGACTACTGCGCCATTATGATAACACGAGACTGCCGTACGACGTGGGCTTGTAGCCTGGGATCCACAACCGGAGGCAGCCCGGAGTCCCAGGACTCTTGAGACAGAAGAAAGCCTAGCACTTAAGTCTGATTTAGGAGAAGAGCCTTGGAAGGCCAATGGCGTTTAGATTTTATCCTGAAGTGGAGAAGTGGGAACCCTCGAAGGGTTTTGAGAAGGGCAGGATCATGACCCACTTACTTTGAGTTCTTCAGTGAATGGGGGAAGAGACAGGGTCAGCAAGAACGCCTTGTGGAAGTAGAATAGACATGGCTTGGTAACTGAATGTGGGGAATAAGAGAAGATGAGATATAATATACAAAACTGATGTAGAAGCTTGTGAATTGGACTACACAAACTGAATTTTATGAAACTTCTTGTGGCATCCACTCCCTAAAAGCTTTCATTGATTTTCTTAAGGGAAAAATAATTTTCTATTTATAGTCATAGTAAACGGAGAAGCCTTAACTTGCAAAATAATTCTTTGGCAGTATATATTCTCCAGATGCCAATCTCCCTGTAATTTATTTATGTGAAAAAATACTACTTTTTTTTTTTTATCTTTCAATTACAGTTTACATTCAGTACTTTTTGTTAGTTTCAGGTGTACAGCATTGTGGTTAGACAATCATATACTTTACAAAGTGTTCCCCCCAGTATTTCCAGTACCCACCTGGCAGCATACATAGGTATTACAATATTATTGACTATATTTCCTATTCTGTACTTTACATTCCTATGACTATTTTGTAAATACCAATTTGAATTGCTTAATCACTTCACCTTTTTCACCTAGTCTCCCCACCCTTCTTCCTTTTGGCAACCATCAGCCTGTTCTCTGCATCAATGAGTTTTTTTCTTTGTTTATGGCTCTCCAGATTTCACATATAAGTGAAATCATATGGTATTTGTCTTTCTATGACTAACTTATTTCACTTAGCATAATACCCTCTACGTCCATCCATGCTGGACGTAGATTTGTAAGATTGTAAGATTTCTTTCTTTTTTATGACTGAATAATGTTCCATTGTATACATGTACCATTATTTTTTACCCATTTGTCTAATGATGGACACACTTGGATTGCTTCCATATCTTGGCTATTGTAAATAACACTTCAGTGAACATAGAGATGCATGTATTTTTTTGAATTAGTGTTTGAGTTTCTTCCGATGTATACCCAGAAATGGAATCACTGGGTCATAAGGCAGTTCCATTTTTAAATTTTTGAGGACCCTCCATAATGTTTTTCCACAGTGGCTGTACCAGTCTGCATTCCTACCTACAGTGTATAAGGGTTCCCTTTTCTCCACATCCTCACCAACACTTGTTGTTTGTTGACCTGTGAAGTAATTCTAAAAGTCATTGCCCATAGGGAAAGCTATAGGATAGCTAGGGCCAAGATGGCCCATAGATAGATAGGGAAGCAATCTACTATAATAAAAAAATAGTATGTCCCAAATGGGGCATAATTATACTAAAAACATTATTATTTATCTGACACTCAAATTTAACTGGGCAACCTGTTTTTCATCTGGTAACTCTACCCAGAGAGCTTTTGGGTATGTATATTAGAATTTCATTTTACCTTGGCAGAGCGGAAATAGTCTCTTCTTCATCCTGTCTGCTATGCCACAAAGAGCACAGAGAACACAATGAGAGTCAAAGCCAGCAGAGATTAAAATCTTCTACATGCTTTATTGGACTTCAAAGAGTCTTATGAAATAACACAGAAAAACCCATGTGAGGGTGTCCAGGGGGTACAAGGCAGTCTGCAGCCTAGCTGCCTCCTAAGACCAGCCCCAGGTGCCCCCACCCCAGGCCCAAAATAGGATCCCAGAGTAAAGGCATGTCAGGGAGTGGGACAGAGGGGAAAATACCTTTACAGCCATAGCAAAAACAGGTAAGGGAGAGAGTTGTCTGGGGGCTGGGAAGGGTGGGGGGAAGTGGTTACATAGCCACCTTCACCTACACCTTCTTCCTTAATCACCCCCTTCCCTAAATTGGCTGTGTCCTTTTTGAGCCTCTAGCCCAGGTTATGCAGTAACATGAAAATGGGGTCTGACAAAGGGGGTATGTGGTGCAGGCACTTGGGAAATTCAGGAGATTTCTTTTTTTCAATTTTAAACTGTCTTTTGGTTCAAATGCAACAACATCCTGCCCAACAGCTCCAGGGCCCCCATTAGAAGAGCCCTGTATCATAGCTGAGGCTCCCATGGCCAGAGGAGCCAATTGTCCTGAACACCAGGACTACCGATGCTTGGGGAGCTTTTGGGCAGCACCTCTTATAAACAAACTCTCCTGCAGTGTGGGAGAGCAGGGATAAGAGACGCAAGTGTGGGTGAGAGAAGAGACAAAAGGTGACTGCCTTGTAGCCCCAAACTCTGGCATCTACTCATCCTCCAACTAAGAGAAGTGTCTCCCTATCTATCCCTTAGCATGGCCTCTCTTCAAAACTCTCTAGTGGCTTGTTCTCTGGGAACTGGTTTCACTCCCTGGAGGCCTAAGTGAGCTCCAGACTGAGGTTTCCTCTGGCCCACCTTACTCCCAAAAAACAAACCTCAAATATTAGGCCCTAGGACCCAGTTTGGGGCAAAGAAAACCATCATAGGTGGGGTGAAATAGATCTGAGGCACAAGTGTCAGAAGTTACTCCTCCTATCTTCCCCCCTTGCTGCTAGGGGAACTTAGGGAGTGGTGGGAGGAAGGAACCTGAAAGCAGGAGACAGAGAAAAACAAGAAACCAAACTTCAAAACTGGGACAGCAGAGACAGAAGCTGGACCTCAGAGGTGGAGCTGGTAGCTGAGGGGGCAGCAACTAAGACATGCACTGAAGTGGAGAGGGAGCAATAGCAGCAGCCCATGGTTGGGAGGGAGGCAGGGCAGGCAGGCCATGGTGGTCAGTTAATAAATAATGTTGAAGGACCCAAGGATGAGGGGGGCAGGTATCTACAGTGCCCAGGCCCCTGGGCCAACCCCTCCCATGCCCCACTCTAGGCGCCAGGTATCTTGGAAGGCAGGAAAGGGGAGGCAGAAGACCAAGGAAGGACAAGCTGTCCTGCCACTGCCACCGTCATCCTGCCTACTTCTTAAGAGGCTTCTTAAAGATTTTGAGGGGAAACTTCTTCCGGCCTGGGCTGGAGTCTGCCTCCTCACCAATGGAGCTATTATCCTCCTCAGCCATGGCCTTCTTGCCAGCCAGGTGGGGAATGCGTGTATTTCGGCTGGCCTGCAGGGCTCGGCTGTCTCCTGCTGGAGATGGTGTGTCTGGGTCTGGGGAACTGGGGCTGTGAGAATGGGAAGAATCCAGAGGTGGAGAGCCACCAGGTGGGGCTGAGGGGCTCAGCTCCATCAGGCTGTGGGCCTTATCCAGCCCATGGTTCAGCGCCAGTAGTGCCTTCTTGGCCAGGGCAGGACTGTCAGGCAGTTTCTCCACCGCAGACCCTGGGTGGACCCCCTCAATCAGCCGGTGGCTGCCGTTGGAAGTCATGGCATTGAGAGCCTCATCTGCAGCACGAACCATCTGAGGAGGCTTGGGGGCCATACGCTGGCGGTCACTCATGTGGAGGGAGGACTCCGAATCGGAATGGGTCAAATCCCTGAAAGACAGGGCAGAGAGGAAGAAAGGAATACATACAGGACAGAGGCGGGGTGGCACAGGGGGAAAATTGAAGAGGAAAGACAGAAAACATGAAAAGACAGGAAAGGATATGAAAAGGAGGGTAAAGAAAGGGGCAGGAGATAAAATAGGATGAACAGACATGCGGGAAAGAGAGAAGAATGAGAAACAGAAGGAAGATGAGCAGGTACAAAGTACCGGATAACAGGAGGCAGGAATAGGGAATGGGGATAAATTAGAGAAGAGACAGGGAGAAGAGAATAAAATTGGGGAAGAAGAAAAGCAACAGGAGAAGCAGGACCAAGGGGAAAGAAAAAAGAAAACAGTGATGGGGAAAGAAGAGACAGACAAGAAGCAAAAATAAATGTCATTATACCATCATCTGTTGAGCAAAGGTCTTTCTAATGCCTGGGCCCACCCCTAATGGATGACCTGGCCCTAAACTAGCAGCCATAGGCTTTAATGCCAGAGGCATCCTCCTCAGTAGCATCTCTGCTTTCCTGTAGCTGGCTAGATTTCTTAAGACTCAACCCCAAGCTAATACAGAACCCACATCTTGCTCAGAGTCACCATTTTTCATGCCTTCCTCCCCCATTTACTCCTGTCATACCCCGAGACACATCCAGCCTGGGGCAGGACTCTAAAGACAGGACACATGCAATTAAGTGAGCCTGACCCAGGCTGGGGAGGAGATGGTTAGAACAGCCTTGCAAACAATCTCTCACCCACCCCAAAAGGCCAGGATGCTGCCTCTTCCAACCCTCTCACAGGTTTCAAAGGGGGTCACGAGAAGTGTTTGAAGTTCAAACCAAAGTCGGTTGGCAGCAGGAAGGGTGGGGTCTTTTTCAAAGCTCTGCTGACAGGGGGAATGGAGGGAGGTGCAGGAAGACAGGATGTTGGCCTTTAAGGAGCAGTGGTTCAGAAGAGCTGCACACTAGAAATCATAAGGTTTGATTCAATTTCCATCTCTGCCTGAGGTTTGGACAAATCATCTAACCTTTCAAGTCCTCAATGCAGGCCAAATGAAGATAATACCAATTCAGTTATCTTGCAAGACTGTTTGGAGGATCAAATATGCTGACAAAGCACTTGGAATAAAGTTGATGAGGCCAGTCAAAGCTGAAAGACCTATATGTGGGCCAGTCTTGAGAGGCTTCTTTGCAAGGCTGAGTTATAGGGACATGGCACTGCACACTGGACATGCACGTACAGAGGCTAGTCCAGAAAGTCAAGACCCTTTTAGGAGCTTGCAGTTCCTAAGAAGGCCATAAACCAATTCTGGATGCCACCCCTCTTGCCTCTACAGTACAAAGAATGCATATGGTGGGGGAGTCCCCTGCTTATCCCTTAACCTTCCTTCTTCTTTCCCAGAGGCCTAAGAACCCACAGTAGAGGCAGAGGAGAGGGCTAGGGAAATGCTTAAACATCCAAATCAGTAAGCCAAAGGGAAAGTGTCTGGAGTGGGAGAGGAGAGCACCACAGTATCTGGAAAGGAGACTTGTGGGTCAGAAATTATGTAGGGCTCCAGGCCCCTAAAATAGGCAAAAGCAGGAGGTTGGCTCATAGCTACTATACAGGAATGGGCAAAAGTAGGTTTATAGCTGTTAGCATGCGAAACACTGAGTTTATTCTTGTATTATTATTATTTATTAATTATTGTATTATTTTTCATACTATAAAGCTACTATTTCCCCACCCTGTAGGTTTAATTCTTAGTGGAAAACAATTAACTAAGCAGCCACCTCATAAGTCAGTACCTTCCTAGAAACGGGATAACAGAAAACAATTCCAGCTCCAATTCCCATTCTGTAAATACTGTTTCAACCACATACTCTAGTGTTTACCAATATTTGGTTTCATAATACCTGATGCTGTCCTTCCTTCTGTGTAAATGTGCCCTTGTTTCTCTAAGCCCTAAAATGAGACTCTCCATATCCTGCCTTTTCCATACACATATGAACTACCACCAAGCATGGCACCAAGGAAGTTCTGGGGAACAACTGCACTGGGAAAGGGGCCCTTTAGGCTGATGAGGTGAGGATCCTAGGAGCCTACCTTTCTAATGCCAAGGAAGAGAGGTCTAAGGGTTGGGGCCCTTCCAGACTCTCTCCTCCAGGTCCACAGCCCCAATTGGTCGCGTTTCCCATCTTTCTATGCCTTCCTCATCAACTAAGACCTGGTACTCCCAAAGCAAGAAAAGAACCTAGGAGGAAGCCTGAGTAGATGTAGGAGGAACAAGGTCCACTGAGACAAGCTCACCTTCCCTCCCTGAATCTTTGACACAATTCAGGCCAGGGGTATCCCTCCCCAAAGGCTGGGCTGCTTTGGGCTCCCATACCAAGCTACTAACCTTACTAGAGAGCCTGTTTGCCTTTATAGATGATCCTCTGGTGCATGGTGCAAAAGAAAATTAAGCAGTGAACAGGCCGGGTGGATGCAGGTACCTCCCCACCCAACCTCCCCACTGGCCTCACTTTGGGCCTTGGAGCATGAGATTCATAGCATCTCGTAGTGCCCCTAAATCAACTCTGTTGTGGGAGAGGCAGTCTCCCTGCCTAGGCTTTAGGATGAAAATGAGGATGAGAATGAAGATGAGCGGCTCTGCTGACATAATGCTAATAAAGGCAGTTCCTTTGTAAAAAGAAAAAGGAACAGCCCTCAAGGATGACTATCCAGAGGTTCAAGGGGCAGAGCTGGAGAGACTGGTATCCAGAAAGGCAGAACCAAAATGAAGCAACAGGGTAAGCAGGCTACAGCCCAGAAGCCAGGCCTGGGCTGTGGTCACAACTTCAGAGATGAGAGGTTCTTCCACAGAAGAGAGACTTTCTGAGTGTCCCTTAAGCTTATTCCAGACAAGGTCAAGGCTACTATCTCTGACCCTAGCCTATCATGTTGTATCAGCAGGGCAAGTCCCTACAGCTGCCAGACCAAGCTGTGGGAGAAAGCCTTCCACCAATTCTTATACAGTTCACTTATTGAGACCTTGTGGAAGGACAAAAATATCCAACAGAGTATCCTAGAATGGAAAACCAAGTTCTAGTCTATGTCTAGTCTATGTTCTGCCCCTAAATAGCTGTGGGACCTGGGGAAAACTACTTAACCTTTCAGAGCCTTAACTTCCTACTCTGAAAGTGACTATTTTAATGCGTGCCCCACCTACAAACTTTTCTTGTCCAAAACCCCTAAATATGTTTACCCTCTTCTGTTCTCTAATTCCATGAAGCATACATCCACTCAGTCATCCAAGCCAGAAACCTGGGTAGAATCACAAATTCCTCCCTCTCCTTCACTCCTCACAGCCAGTTACCAAATTAATCCTCTCCTTTTCATCCCAAGACCTTGTTACTTCCCCTAGTGGTCTACTATAATGATTTCCAAATTCCTGCTGTCTCCTTCTTTACTTTGTATAGACTGTTAACATGTTATTTCTAAATGAAAATCTGACCAATTAACTTCCCTTTAGAAACTCTTTTGCAGTTCTCCACCTCCTAAAGGGTAATAGTCAAAGCCCCTAGCCATTCAGAGCCCTTCATCATTCTAGCCTCATTTGCTACCCCTTCCCACCAACAATACCAAAGCTCTAACCACAAATACCAGATTCTCTTGAATTTCCATGTCTCTGCACATAATGTTACCTCAGCCTAGAATACATTTTCTCCTTTTACTGTACACAGGATGTTAGCACAAATGTCATCTCTTTTGTGAAGCGTTCCACCCAAGAACACACTGTTAGTCATTCCCTTCTCAACACCCCCATAGCACTTAGCAAATTGTTCCATAATTATTTGTACCTCTCCCAGGTCAGACTCTAATTCTTGATGGCTGGGATTGTATCTTATCATCTATGAATCCTCATGCCCAGCAGATCCTGGCAGAGTAGGTATCAATAAATTTTGTTGAAGCAATAAAGGAAGTGAGGACTCCACTGAGATAATGGATGTACAAGTGCATAGTTTAGGCAAAAGTGCTATGGGACCATGAGGGAGGGGGTTAGAGTCAGAAAACTCCAAACACAGTAGGGAAGGAAGTTGTGAGTGGTTAGGCAGACCTTAAGGAATCCCAGGGCTAGGAAAGGACAGGACAAAGAGACGATGCTCCACTGCACACACCCCCACAGCTGACCAAGCAGCAGCCAGTGGGCAGAGGCCAAGGTATAGGCAGCAGAAAGGGAAGGAAGGGAAGAAAGAAAAGAGAGACAGCTGATACCCCAAGCTCTCTGAATGCCCAGGCATCACAGCGGTACTGTCAGAAGTGGGTGGGTCAGGGTAAGGCTCCATCTGGAGGAAGTAGGAAGTGCTTTGGTGGTAATAAACAGGGTGGACATGGATGGTGGTGATGGAGGAGGAGGAGGAGGAAGAGGAGGTAGTGGTGGTGGTGGTGGTGGTGGTGGTGGTGGTGGTAGAGGAGCAGGAAGAAGCAGAGGCAGATGGAGAGCTGGTCCCGTGGCCTTCAGAACTGAAAGACTGTCCAGATGAAAGGCTGCGCATTCGCCGCAGAGATGCCCGGCTTGTCAAGAAGTGGCCAGCCTCACCCTCTACCAACCTCTGAGATCCCAGGCCATGCTGTGGCTCCGTCAGGCGCTGCCGGACACTGCTCTGCAGGCTTGGGGCTGCAAGAAAAGCGAAGACAGTATGAGGAAGGGCAAACTTACTTTGGGCTGGCAGGCAAGCAGGTTTGCCCATGGAGAAATGCTTGCTGGAGACCACTCTGGGCTTCTAGTGACCAGTCTGAGGAATGGGGCACCTCTTCCCCAAAACCTCCCACCAGGGGTCCTAAGAGGGTAAATTGAAAGTGAGGTGCCCAGGTCAGTTTTAATGGCAATTCCAATGGAGGGAGGCCAACATTAACATAAAGGGATATGACAAGGCAGTTAGTGGGAGGACACAGGCAGGACAAGGTAGGATAGGGGTTTGGGGCAAGGTTCGGGAGAGCACTAAGAACCAGCCTTTTTAGAAAGCCAACCTCAGGAAGTAATTCATGGTTTAGACAAGGATTTATACACAAATATGTTAATCACATCATTATTAATAATTTCATGAATGCAAACAAAGGTGGAACAGTGGGAAAATGATAATATATCCAGATGCTGAAAGACTATATACCTATTAAAAATGCTGTTTATGAAAAGATTTTAAACACATAAAAAATCCCTATTAAAAATGCTCAGGGAAAACAAAAAGACACAAAATTTTATGTAAAAGAAATACACCTTGAGCTATAGAATACAAAAGAGTAGAGTTTGAAACCAGGCCTTTCCAATTCTTGAGCAACTGACATCCCTATTTTAATGCCTAATTTACAAAATCCTGCAAGGTTGTCTTAAGGCTTCAAGATAATGTATTTAAGGTACCTGACACAAGTCATGGCACTCAATAAATAGTAGTGGTCATCATTATCTTAACCACATAAAAATTACTTTAAAATTTCACAAGAAGACTGAAAGAAAAGGTACTCAAATATGGTGGGACTATGGATGCCTTTATTGTGTTCACACTTACCCTTTTTACTTCCCAAATTTCCTCTAATAAACATGGAAACAACAAAGAACCAGCTCTTGGATCAATGCTGCAAATCAGGCTCTTGAAAGATGGTGGCCACCATGCCCAGTGAAGGGCTCCATGGGTACCAGGTAACTCCAAAGTGTGCCAGAGCATTCCCCTTGGACTCACTCCCAGCCCCAGCTGAAAATGGAATTCACACCTTTGTTTTTTTTTCCTCTACCCTGATAGATGGACCTCCCTGCCTTCTCCCTAAAAATAGGAGAAAAGCCAGGTTACAAGGGTGGCAGAAGCCTTGGAAGGTCCACCAGGGGGAAAGCACAATTCCATGGTGATGGAGAGCTGGGAAGGCAGGGCTTCTGCGCCTGGTGGCTTCCAAAGAACAAAAGCGGAGTGGAAGAGGAAAAGGAAGCGTGGAAGAGGAAAAGGAAACATGGAATAGGGAGGGAGAAAGAAGGGGGGAACAGAGAGGAAAAGGGAGAAATATGAAAAAGAGAAAAGAGTGAAAGAATCTTTCCTTCCCTCTTTCCATCCCAGCCCAGCTGGAAGAAGGGCCACCAGGACATCTATCTGGGCTAAAAGGAAAAGCCTAAGCCTTCCATCACCATGGGTGTTCTCTCTCCACCCCCTCATCTGAGCAGGCTGATTCTTCTCACCCCCGAACCCTTCCTTGCAGTTAGTAGGGACAGTGCTTAAGGAATTGAGGGAGCAGGCAGGGGAGTGAAGCAGGCAGGAGAAAGGGCCCGTGGGGATAGGAGTGTTGGTTTAGTTCCAAAAATTGGAAAAACAAAAGCCCCAAAGGGGCTCCTCAAACCCGGGTATTTCCAGAGGGACTGATCATCCGAGCCGGCGGATGTTGAGCAGAGAGAGCGGTCACTGAACCTACGCCCCATCAGCCAGGCAGCATCTAGGGTCCAACAGCCAGGCCAAAAGGAGAAGAGAATCTGATTTACAGAGGGCTTCAGCTTGCCCACCAATGAGATAAGGGAAGGATCAGGGGGCAAAGGGTGAGTAGCTCAGAGCTAATGAAGGGCCCTCCCAACCCAAAGAACATAGAAGCCTTTAGATCAAGGATCAAGCTCTGCCTGCCAGTGATCCTACTTTGTTGCCTTTGAGTAAAAGGCCTGAAAAGATATCAGACCAGGGAGACAAAAAGGCCTAGTCAGAGGCAAAGTGTCACTGAAGAAATTTACAAATAAATCCTGTCTGGAGTTGGAATCCAGCATGATTAGAGTCTGGATTTCTGAACGTGAACCCTTAACCCAGCCCCAGTTTTTTTACCATCCCTTCTGCACCCATGAGATATAGGCCCAGAACAACAGCTTTTCCATAAGTCTCTATTCTATTTATGTAAAACAGCCTCTGATCCAGAGAAAATCTGAACTGAGCCAGTAAGGGATAAGTTCCTTCATTCACTGAAGAATTCCCATAGTCTTGTCTCTTTCAACCCTTCTCTACTCAGCTCTTATCACTCAGGGGAAGAAGGGGAAAGGAAAGACCCAGGACAGAGGGTGGGGAGGTCCAGGAATTCAGGTGGAAAGCGAGACATGCTTGTGCAGGAGACCCCTCCTGGACAAGAATGTCTTTCTGGCTTGGAGGATTTAGGGCTGTATCACTTTAAGGGACTGTTGCTTCATAGGGTCTCACACAAAAAGCCAGAAAGAAACATCATTCCATTCATCTACTTTAGCAATTAAGAATAAGGAATATAAAATAAAAACAAACAAAAGCAATAAAATCAAATGAGTTAAAATAAATGCCATTTTTAGATCATGAACCACTAAGGAGATTATTTTTATAAAGGTAGATGGAGGGGGATGGTAAATAAAGGGATTTAAAAAACACAGAGTGAAGGGAGACACACTTAATGCAATAGACCCAGAAGGGCAGATAGAGCATTAAGCAAGGAAAAACCACTGAAAGGACAACTATAAAGAAATATCCTGATGTGAATTGTGCTTATTAACCAAGGTCATGAGTTGAACTGTCTTCCTGGGTGTCTGCTCCATGTGCTGTTTAAGCACGGCAGTGACCAATAACAACCAGTGTGTGCATCAAAGGCTCCTTCCCTCATCCCCACCCAAGAGGTCACCTACACTGCATGGACAAGGGTGATACAATCTCCTCATCCATGTCATCCACGTCGTCAGTCATGATGAAGTGGGCAGGGTTGGGGCGTGTGCTGCCCATCCAGCTGGGGTCTATGTTGAGGGCAGCCACCAATGAGTGGATGCCAGGGTTATTGACAATCTGGAAGCCACAGAGGATCTCAATCTGCTGCCAGCGGTGCAGGCGCTCCCGCAGTGCTGCTGTCACCTCACTCAGAGCTTGCCTGAGGACAGATGAAAGAGAATGGCAGGCTGGGCTGGGCGTGAGCCTCAAAAGTAACCAGGCCTCTTAGAGAAACAACTTGAGGGGATATGTGTAAGTAAGAAACACAATTAAATCACAAACTTACGAGCAAGGTAGGAGACCAGAGCTGTTCTGCTACCAATGAGGAAGCAGAATTGGGATCGGAAGCCCTGTACACCCTCAAACCCTGAGGATGGGATGGGCAACAGGTGCTACTTACTTAGCCGTTAGGATTTTGTGATCCACATCATCCAGGGAAGAGCTGTGGGCCACGTGGAAGGTGCCAAAGAGTGTGTTTCTCTTCTTTTTTATCTTCTCAGCCTGCAAAGACAAGACCCTCAGATTAAAAAGAGCAGGGATTAGAAGTTGAAAAAATGAGCCATGCCTTTTTGTGACTAGGTTCTTCTAGCACAGCTTAGGCTGCACAAGAAAGAGGAAAAGAAGATGGGAAAGGGAAAAGGAAGGCAAGAAGAGGGAAAAGAGTAGGGGAAGAAAGAAAATAGAGGAATCAAGAGAAGCAAAGGGATCCCCTGACAGTACTCTTGCACCAGGAAGATTCTGCCTCCGTGACAGTATAGAACTTGAAGAGTCTTCCCACTTGCTGCACCTTTCCTAGAAAGGAGGTGGAAGTACCCCCCATACCTTCATTCCCTGCTCCAGAAGCTTGAGGACATTATCAGGAGCTGTATATTAGGAAAAGAAATAGCACCCAGCACCAGGATAGCTCTTTGCCTAACAGGAAGGATAGAGAGAGGCAGAAAGGAGGAAGAAGGACAGGTGAAAGGGAAGGAGGTAAGGAGAGAAAAGGGCAGCAAAAGGGCACGTCTCACCCCCTCCTTGGCCACCAGCAGCTGCTTCTCGGCATTTTGCTTCTTGATGTTGTAGTACTGCACCTCCACCTCATGTGTCAACTGCAGCCACTTTTGAAGGGCCTCTGGAGCATACCATGAGCTGTGTGATTCCAGCTCCTTCTCTGCTTTTCTCAAGGCCTCTCGAACCTGTGCAGCCAAGAGGATGTGAGTCCATTTACTACATGACCCTCTCCAATGCTTCTATATCATACCGCAGAATTCAGAGTTCTTACATGCTCTTCTATGTGAGCTTTATAATTTTCTCAAGAGGGAGAAAAGGCAAGGGTTATTCTGTTTTTTATACAAGAAAGCAAGCTCAGAGAAGGAAAGTAACCTACTCAAGGTCACAAAGAAAGCACAGTAATCCCCACCTTGTCCACAGGGAGTAAGTTCCAGGACCCCCAATGGATGCCTCAAACCATGGGTAGTTCCAAACCCTATTTTTCTATGATTTTTCCTATACGGGGCATACTTTGTTTTATTGCGTCCACTTTATTGTGCTTCACAGATACTGTGTATTTTGAAAAATGAAGGCAAGACACTCTACCAACAAAGATTACAACTGGCTTTATTGCCATACTCGCTTTATGCAGTGGTCTGGAACCAAACCCACAGTATTTTTGAGGCATGCCTATACATACATAAACTTTACAGCTTCTCTGTGGCCTATCAAATAGCCAGAATCACTACTCTTGCACTTTGGGGCTATTAGTAAGTAAAATAAAGGTTATTTGAACACAAGTACTGTGATACCAGAATAGCCAATCTGATAACCAACATGGCTACTGACTATCTGGCAAGTAGCATATGCAGTGTAGATACAGCGGACAAAGGGATGATTCATTTCCCAGGCAGAACAGAGCAGGACAGTGCAAGATTTCATCGCTCTACTCAGAATGGTTTGCAATTTTAAAGTTACGATTGTTTACTTCTGGAATTTTCCATTTAACGTATTTGGATTGCTATTGACGATAGACAACTAAAACTGTAGAAAGCAAAGCCTCAGGTAAGGGGGGACTACTGTAGTATCAACCAGAACTCTGAGATTTTTTTGCTGTCAGACTAGATCATTCTTTTCTCACAATCTCAGCAATCTTCTCTACTCTCTTGAGGCACACTGTTCAGCTCAGTGAATCATCTTTCTGAGGGTTGGAGTCTGTACTAAGACCTCAAGACATCACAATATGCCCCCATGCAAAAAAAAAAAAGAAAAGAAAAAAAAGCACTTGATTAGGAATCCAGAAATCTGACTGTGGTCCCTGGTTGGTCATTCAGCTGGTTTTGTGACCCCATGCTTCCTATAGCAGACCTATTGCAGACCTATAGAAAACACAGGGTCTGAGGAAAGACTTTCTTCATCTCAAGAGAGAGTGAGCTCTCCATCATGAGAGGTAATGTGAAGAGCTTATGTTTGTCATAGAACCTTAAAAATGACTGCTTTTCCAGAAAGGGATTGACCTGAATGATCTCCAAAGTCTTCTCTAGTGCAGAGACTTTGCCTATGAGACTCCCACTGAGCAGGGCAAACAGACTTCAAAGGGCACTCTCTACAAGGTGAGAAGAAAAGAAGCATGCTTACACCTAACATGGGCATTGCCAACAGAGGCCAAGACATGAAAGGACCAATGTATAAGCATAAATCTCCTCACTGACATCTTAGCAGGATTATACAATGAAGCAGACAGTCACAAAGCACCCAAATGAGAAAGGTCTGAAAGTACACACAGATAGTACATGTACTAGGTGCCTTGCAATCTCACTGAGATTACCAGTACAAGCGATCCACAACTCTCCCATCAAGACACTGACTGTCAGCTGGTCAGAATCCCAGAGAAAAGAGATTGAGAACCATCTCACTGTGCCCAAATTCAGCCAACGGGGAAAGTATCTCATAGGAGGCCTGACATCCTCTCTACAGCCTGAGACAAACTAGGAAGGCTTTAACTAAGGAAAGAACACCTTTACACCTTCCAGAGCCAATAAGAGGGTCAACCTTCACTTGGTTTTTGTTCCTCAAAAAAAAAATTATAAAATGGCCCACTCCTGCCTTTGTATATTTAAAGTCAAGAACAGAAACCTGAGAGTCTAATAGACCAAGTTTGAAAGTATATGATCAAGTTCTACATTAAAAAAAGTTTAAATAGGATAAGTAAAGAAGAGGAGAATGGAGAGAAAAGAGAAAAAAGAGAGCAAATAGAGGGAAGTGTGATAGTTGTGGAGGCACACAAAAGGGCTGGCCTAACAGGTTCGAAAACTGTTCATTGGGAGAAATAATTGGAAAATAGGGAACAGGGAATGGAAACATGGGAGGCAAAAGAAAGAGGCAGACACATCTTGTACATACAAGTAACAAATGCCTGAAGGAGAAGACAACAGATAAGGGCTGGGGTCAAGTCAGAGTTCACCAGTCCTATTTTTTTATTCTATGCCTGTGGTTTCCAACCTTGTCACACACTGGAATCTCCTGGGGAACTTTAAAACTGCTGATACCTGGACTGTACCCCAATTCTGATTACACTGACCCAAGGTGTTGGCTTGAGCATCAAACAATTTTTAATGTTCTCCAAGTGATTCTAATTACAGCAAAGTTAACAACCACTGATGTATATGTGTTTTAAAGTATTATCACCTGACTTCTACTTCCACATAGAATGCAGTCGGTCATGGTGAAAGAATACTTCTGATCTAATACACTATCTGGAAAAAGCTGTATAAGTTATGAAAATTTTGAAAGACAAATTAATATAATTATGAAAATTTTTCAAAGAATAGAGCTGTAGAAGTAATAAAGACTAGGTCAGCAGTTCTCAAACTGTGATTCAGGGATACTTAAGTGTCCCCAAGAACCTTTCAGAGCATCTTTATGGTCAAATTGTTTTTATAATAATACTAAAACATTTACCTTTTTCATTCTCCTCTCAGAACTGAACTGTGGAGTTCTCCAGAAGCTACTTGATGAATGATATCACAACAGATTAAATATAGACACTAATATAAGAACCCAGCAGCTCCCCAGCCAGTGGCTGAGTCTCATAAACCGAAAGGTCGTGGTTCAATTCCCAGTCAGGGTACATGCCTGGGTTGCAGGTTTGGTCCCCAGTTGGGACACATAGGAGAGGCAACCAATCACTATTTCTCTCCCACATTGATGTTTCTCTTCCCTCACTCCCTCTCCCTCCCTTGCTCTCTCTCTAAAATCAATAAGCATGTCTTTGGGTGAGGAGTAAAAAAAGAAGAATCCAGCAGCGTGTTAAAGCCAGACATTTAAAATATTTGCAAAATCATTTTTAAAAATCACTCTTCTCATTATTTCTCTTTTGGAAATGTAGTCATTTTTCATAAAAAATACAGTATTTGTGTTAACATGTAAGAGATTTAATATACTTCTTTTAAATTAATATTTAAAATATTTATATCCCAGTTTTAATCTCTAACAGGGTAAATAGCAACATACTGTCCCCATGAAAATATTCTTCGAGGTCCTAAGTAAAGACCAAAGAGTTTAGGAATGGCTGGACTTGATAAACTAGAAATCCAGAGAGAGAAAAGCCTTCCTAAGGGGAATTGACAATAGACGGCCATTTTTTTCCCTTAAGGCATTTGATGATTCCAGGTGAGGGCTGAGAATTGGTTCTGGCCAGACAGAAGGACTCCACTGGAACACAGAGAAACTGGCCCAGCTTTTGTTGATGGTAAGGTACTAGTATAACAAATTGGAAATTCAGGGGTTCTCAACATACATCCAGTTTTCTTTTTGGGGCATTTACTGAATCCTGGGGCTGTGTAGGAGAATAGGTACCTAGGCCAAAGATTGGAACAAAATCTCCTATACTTTCATAATACTTAAGAGACAAAATACTGCAAGAAGGAGGGGAGTTGCCTCGAACACAGTCTTCTACACAAGACAAATGTAAAATTTTGAAGCTATGAAAAGCAGGAGGCTAAAGAGCTAAATTCCAAAGCTTCAAGTGGCAGAAATGAATCTCTCATAGTCTTTCAGAGCCAAGAAATCCACCAGCTCTCAATAAAAATATCAGGAAAGGACTTGTCTGAGAAACTGTGACAAATGAGCATTAGACCAAGTCTTACTAAAACTACAACCCAGTTCCAACAGAGCTCAACCTCTGATTGGCTTGAGGTGATTAGGTCCTCACCCTATACACCTAACAGAATAAAGGGAAAACCCTATATATGATGCTGGATAAAATCATCGGGATCCTCTATTATTTTGTATACACTGTCCAGCATTTAGTAAAAATAAATTACTAGATGTGAGATGAGGCAGGAAAACATAACCAATAATCAAGATGAAGCAGTCCTATAAATGATCCAGATGTTAGAGTTACCAGCCCTGGGCTTTAAAATCAGCATGACTAGAATGTTAAAGAAAATATAGGAAAAGATAAACACAATAGATGAAAACATGGAAATTTTGGGGAGGGAACCAGACTCTATAAAAAAGTAAAATGGACATTCTAGAACTTAAAAATACATTATCTGAGAGGCAGATTCCACTGAATGGGGTCAGAGAATACAGGATTAAAGAACTCAAAAGATAGGTCAACAGAAAATAACCAAACTAAAGCACAGAGAGAGAAAAAGAACAGAATTGAGCCTAAGAGACACATGGAATATAGTTAAAAGGTTAATATTGGATTCCCAGAAGGAGCAGAGAGAATGGAGCAGAAGCAGTATGTGAACACTAAAGAAAATGTGTATTCTGTAATTGTTAGGTAAAATGTTCTCGATATTGTTAATGAGGTCAAATGGATTATTTATGTTTAAATATATCCTTACTGATGTTTTTGCTGCTTATTATTAAGGGGTGTGTTAAAATCTCTAATTTTGATTATGCATTTGTCTATTACCCTTCTATTTTTTTCAACTTTTGCATTATATATATTTTAACTAGCTGTATCCAAATTAAAGATGGTTATATATTACTGTTTAATTCACACACTTATCATTAAGAGATGTTCACTTTTGTCTTTAGTAATACTTCTTGCACTAAAGTCTACTTTTGTCTGACATTAATATAACTACCTCTGCTTTATTTTGCTTAGTGTTTGTATCATATATCTTATCTCCTCCTTTTGCTTTTAACCTTTTTGTATCCTTATATCTAAAGTGTATTTTTATAAACCGCATATAGGTGGGTTGTTTTTTTTTATCCAGTCTGACATTCTCTGCCTTTCAATCATATTGTTTAGTCTGTTTACATAAACCAAGTCTCAGTATGTTTGAAAGGACTGAAACCATACAGCATATGTTCTCTAACTACTGTGAAATTAAACTAGAAATCAATGAGAAAGATAACCATAAACATCCCTGTGCTTGAAAATTAAGTAATGCACTTCTAAATAACCATGGGCCAAAAAAGAAATTGCAATAAAAATTAGAATATCTTTTGAACTGGATGATAATTAAAATATGAAATATCAAACCTTGGTAAATACAGCTAAAGCAGTGCTGAGATAGAAATTTATAGCTATAAATGCATATATTAGAGAAGATTAAAAGTTTAAAATCACTGACCTAATAATCTTCCACCTCAAGAAGCTAGAACAATTAGAGCAAGTTTAAAAACAATTTTTTTAAGGGCAAGACTTCTACACTGAAAACTACAAAATGTTGCTGTGAAAAAATTTAAAAAACCTAAAAAGTGACAGATAAACAATGCTCATGGACTGGAAGAATCATTTAGTTAAAATGTTAATTTCTCCCCCACACACATTAATTTATACATTCAATTCCAACAGAGTAAAAATTCCAGCAGGACTTTTTTTTTTTTTTGCTGTGGGTGGCAACAGAATGACAAGCTAATATGGAAATGCAAAGAACCTAGAAGAGCCAAGGCCATCTTAAAGAAGAATAAAGCTGGAGAGTCCCATATAAAATAGTCAGTAAATTTAAGAAAAGGTGTTCAATATTATTAATCACTAGGAAAATTAAAATTAAAATCACAATGAGATACCACTGCATCCATACCAGAATGTGTAAAATTAAATGCCTAAAAATACCAAGGTTATAGCTCAGCTAGAACGCTCACACATTGCTGGTGGCAATATAGACTGACATAACTCTTTTAGAAAACTGTTGGGCAATAAAGCTAAATATTTATGCCCTTTTATATATCCAACAGAAATAAGTGCTAAGCCCACCAAGAGATATGTGCAAGTTTCACAGCAGTGTTATTCACAAAAGGCAAACGACTCAAATGTCTATCAGAGGAGAATGGATAAATAATTTATAATATACAATGGCTTATTACTCAGCAATGAATAAACTAGTGATATAAACTATACAACAGATTACACTCTTACAGACAAAACGTTAAGTGAAAGAAACCAAACCCAAAAGAATATATACAATATAATGCTATTTATATGAAGTTCCACATCAGATGAGACTAACCTGGTTTAGAGATTATGCATAGTTACTTTTTGAAAGGAATATTGACAGTTGGCAGGGGGAGTCAAAAGTGAGCCTTCTGGAGTGTTTAAAAGATTCTGTATTTTGATCTGGATGGTGGTTACACAGGTATATGAATATATAAAAACCTGCCAGCTGTATACTTATAATCCTACACTTTAGTCTATGTAAATACCTCAGTAAAAAAGGAACAAAATAACTTTACATGTTATCCACTGTTCTTTGAAAATCAGAGTGACCATTTTTTGCAGCTTTTCCACTATTCTTAGTAGTAAGAGTGTAATAACTTGAAGATATTCTTTGAGCCATATTTCTTTTTCTTTTTCTTTTTTTAAAATCCTAGGTCCAGGATATGTTTACTGATTTTTAAAGAGAGAGAATGGGGGGAGAGAGAGAGAAACATTGGTGTATGAGAGAAACATCAATTGGTTGCCTCCAGCACATGCTCTAACCAGGGATCAAACAACCTTTTGGTGCACAGGATGACGCTCCAACCACCTGAGCCACTCGTCCAGGCCTCTTTGAACCATATTTCAAAGTCCTCACACATGAAACTTTTCAGCCAGACTAATGGACCCTCCTCTTTACCTGTTCCCTCAGAATGTCCAGGAACTTGTAGATCTCCTACCTGCTCCAGCTCCTCCTCAGCATATTTTTGGCGGCTCCGCTCATTCTCAGTACCCTCCCGCAGCTCCTTCAGTCGCTGGGCTTCCTGCTTGGCAAGGTTGATCTCATCACGCAGCTTCTTCTCCAGATGTACCTTCTCCACCTCCACTGTGCGGTGCTCCTCCTGGGCCTTCTGCAGCCTGGGGGGCGATGCAGGGAGCTGGAGGAGGCCAGGCAAGGGGGTGCCAGCCAACATGCCATGAGTCATGGCATTGAAGAGGAAAATAAGGGCTCCAGCACTCAGTACATATTCTCCCTATTCTGCTGACTCTGGTTCTGAGTTAGCTCAGCACCAAAACAAACCACAGTCATTACCATACTTCTTACATTGGCTACCATTTTGTTGCTACTTATAGGCTGTGAAGCTAGGTTCTCAGGTATGTGAATCCTTCCTCTAAGATGTCTGACATACTAAAATTATAACAACTACTAGTTTACTAGATATTTCACATTTGTCCTCCCTGCACATAATGACATAGTATTATATCATTATCAGCCTAGGACAGGTATGGATGTGAAGGCTTTGAAAGGGGAAGTAGCTACTGGTAGAACTGAGACTAGAATTCCAATCTGTATGACTTCAAATCCCATAGTTATATCAGGGTGTCTGGAAGTTTCACTATAAATGTAGAATACCCTGCAAGCTAGACCAAAGATCCAGAGAAAGCCTGACAGCTGAGATATAAATGAAGCAGTAGTAGTGGGGAGATTTAGAGAAGATGAGAAAAGAACCATTGAGCTGTACTTCTTGGACTCCTGAGTACCTGTTTCCAGAAATAAAGAAAAATAAAATTCATGCCAAAGGGGCTGAGCAGAGCTTGAGAGAGCCCCCTTACAAAGGGGAAGAGAGGCTTCCCCAAGGCCTGAGTTCTTTTCCTCAGTAAGTCCCATGGGGGCTAAGATCTCAAGGGCATCAGTTATAATGAAAATATATCCTTGTCACCATCCACACGTTCCCTCTGTTCACTGACAAAATCTTCCATCCATCCAAATAAACCTCCTTCCTTCTTCTTCCATATCTATTTTATTCACTCATTCATTCATTCATTCATTCACCAAGTACTTTCACGTGTCTACTAAATACCGCACCCTGTGCCAAGCCCTAAATATGTGGAGATGAATGAGAAAACTGTTTCTACCATTGAGGAGTTCATTATCTAATTCAATTTAGAGAAACAGATAACTATCACAATGTGACAGATTCTACAATAGATATACAAGGTGTTGGATGAATCCACTGGATGGAGTGATCAACTCCACCTGAAAGGAGTCAGGAAAGGCAAAGCATGGGCTAGACCCAGAAGAAAGAATAAGAGTTTGCTAATCCTTCTGGAAGAGGGAAAGGACTCAGCCATTGCCAGGTCTTCCTACCTTAGTAGAAACCCCCAAGTTACCAGAGGACCAGGAAAGAAGGGGAAAACAGTGATGAAGAAGACAGGGGATATATGACTTAGATTGGGTTACAGCAGAAAAAGGATAGGCTACAGAATTAGCAGGGCCCAGAGAGAAGAGCACTGACCACTGAATTAAGTAGGTGAAACAGAAAAGGCAGAAACAGAACTCAACAAATCCCAAGTCCAGAATGGTCATCAGTAGTGGAAGCCTCAAAAGACGTGTTGGTACAAGCTGGAAGGGAAGAGGAAGAAATGTCTGGGCTGCTGTTACTGCTGACAAACTAGTCGTCTTCCCGCTTTATGGTTGGAGAGAAAGGGAGTTGAACCTCCTCGAGGTTCACACCAGGTGGCGCTACAAGCACAGCCAAAACAAACCTGAGGCGCCATTTTCTGCCCCGCACCTGCCCCCGCCCCCGCCGCCGCCCCGTCTCCTTTTCTGGGTGAGTACCCTCCTTTCTTGCATTCCTCCAAGATACTACTGCCTGAACTTACACCATTAGGGATTCAATTCTTCTCTGAAATATTATCCTCTCTGAAAGCAGCCTCTTGAGAAAAGCCTATGATCATCTGCCTTCTTCATATAATAGGGAGCTCCTTTAAAAGTAGAATCAAAACTGACCCAGTTATAGTCCTAACAGGATCTAGAAGAGATGAAAATCAATAAATTCTATTGAGAGCAGAAATCAAGCAAATAAATGTACCATCAAGCCTTGCCCCACTCTATCTCCTGCACAGAAGACTGAGCATCTTGAAGGCAACAATCCGTTAGCATTACAAGGAAGAAAATTACTCAGCCTGAACTCAAGCCCTGGTTCTAAGCAGTTATGTGACTACAGAGAAGTCTGTTCCCTGTACTGGGCTGGTTTCTTCATTTTTAAATGGGAATCAAAATTCCTGCCTGCCTCAAAGAATTATCTTGAAACCCAATGAAATCCTAACTGGAATGTGCATGTAGCATTCATTACATTTATCCACCCCAAATATCGGGAACTCTGCAAAAAAAAGCTTCATGGAGGCTGGCAGTGCAGGCCTAATAAAGTGAGGAGGGAGGAGGTAGCATGTAGCCCTGAACACTGTCAGAGGAGGTGTGTGAGCCCAGCTCTGGGTGTGTGCATGCATTTGCTTCTCTAAGTGCCACAGTGGTCACTTAGCTCTGTAGGCCTTGGGGAGCGGGCAGAGCTGGGAGCTTAGTTTTATCCCCAAACTTGGAATGTCTCCTGCCTAGATTCTTTGCCTTTGGAATGAAAACAGTACATGTTTTTCAGACAAATGAAGAATGGGGACTGCCTAGACAGCAGCATTTAGCCCCCATTGGCAAAGGGCCCAGGATCAAGGGGCCCAGCAAAGTAGTCAGGAATCAGCTCAGAGATAAAACTTCTTTTGCCCACCCCGCCAAAGCCTGGTACATGGGTATGAATCTGACAGGGCTGCCTTTACTGACACAGCACCCTGCAGGTGTCAAAATTCCTAGCTCACTACTTACTGTTAAGTGACCCTAACCAAAGCACTCACCCTCTTGGAGCCTTCAATTCTTAAACTCTAAAATAGGGATAATAGTATCGCCAACCCACGTTGTGATGATTAAAAACAATAATACATTTAAGTATTTAACAATACATAGCTCACAAGAAATCCTTTCCTCATTCCTCCAAAGAAAATAATATCTATCACTTAAAAATAACAGAAAAGAGCCAGACTGCCTTTCCTTTTGCATGGATTTCTGCAAAGACTTTCCAACTAGACTCCCTAGGCTGCCAGAATAATTTTCTAAAAGACAGTCCTAAAGTAGACCTCTCCTCTTTTCAAAAACTAAACAAAATATGTGTATTGCCTGTGTGTTGCTTTTTGCATCCTACTAAAGTTCTCCATGTGAGTCTTAAGGTGCCAGGGGTCTTGCCTCACTACACATTCTACCTTAACTACCAGGACCTCCCTACCCATCTTTCAAGGCCACTTCCTCAGCATCCACATCACTCAGTTCCTGCCTCTGTGCTCTTCCTGTCCTTAAAGTTATTATCATCCCATAACCTGACACTGAGTCACTGCACAAATGTGTGCTCACTGCTCCTTCTCATATGTGAGCTTTGCTGCCCCAGGAGCAGTGAATTCCTTACAATTCCCAGGATACAGCTGGTTGCTAGATATCAGGAGGTGCTTAGATTGACTGACTGGTTTTTGGGTTTTTTTTCTTCCCCGCAGTTAGATCTTCTACAATAGTTTTAAGCCATGTTTTATTTAGGCAGAATCCCAGACTATCAGAGCTAGCCATTCATGTCCCCATAGTTCCACACCCTCATGTTACTGATGAGGAAATAAGTCCTAGAAGAGAAAGGTATTTATCCAAAGTCATACAACAAGTGAGTACTTATGAAAGTTAGGAGGTATAAGGAAGGCAGATTCATGAGGTTTCTCTGGGGAACAGTGAAGAAGAGTTCATTGTATCTATTTCTATGGGAAAGGAAGCAAAGGCAGGGCGAAGGATAGAGTGACCCCTAATGAGACATCTAGCCAGGAAAACTCAAGACTTCTGACAGTTATATGTTTCTCCCTCTGAAGCTCAGAGGGAAAATAAGTTTCTGCCCTGGGAAGAATACTTGCCCATGCAACCAGAATGGCAGGAACCTGGACTCCCAAAGCAGTTTTGGAAAGATGGCACAGCCTGGGCAGCCATGTCAGCATGGTCTCAGGGGCAGGTAGCCCACAATCCAAGTGGAATCAGGAGGCTCCCAAAAGCTGGCAGCATCAGGCTGTGGGGAAGGGGCAGGGTCTTACCTTTCCTGAAGGTCATGCAGACTCTGCTCAGCTCGGTGTAACCCCTCCAGATCCTTCATCATCTTCTTCATGTGCTCCTTGGAGTAACGATTCTGGATATAAGCAAACCAGCAGCCACCCACACCAATAACGATAGACACCACGAGCATGAAGTCCTTGAGGTGATTATGGCGGGTCACTGCCAGAGAGGAAGGGCATGGTGAGTCAGGCTGCCCGCTGCACACTTAGCCTTGCAGAGTCGACCGCATCCCCTCCTCCATGAAGCCTTCCCATTCACAAGAAATTAGTTTCTATACTCAGACACACACTTGCCATACACTACTATAGTATGCTCTGTGTCTATTTCTCTGCTAAGTCCAGGCCTAGTTTGGAAACAATGAGAGGCCTTAGAGCAATACAGGCAGCTTATTAAATCGTGCTTCCCTAATACGTAGTGAAGAGGAGAACACTAGTGCCTTCTTGATACATGCCAGCCATCTCGGGTCTGCAATGAGCCTGAGCCCATGTACCCAGCTACACTGGCTTCCAATCTGTAGGGTAAGCAATGCTAGGATGCTAGAGCGTGTAGAAAGGGATGGCTGATGAGGGTATAAAGCAACATAACTAGAGCTTGAGGTCTGGCAGTGGAACTGAGGTTACTATAGGAGCTGGGTCTCCTGGGCTCCTAGGCTATTGCGGGGGCAAGGCACAATGCCCAGATCAGGTAAACATCTGCAATTCTTGTCTACAAAGGGCACTTCTAGGCTGTGGTTCAATATACAGATCAGGAAGAACAGGAGTAACCTCAAGAGATTGGTATAGATAAGACATGCCACAAGCCAGGAATAGAGGGGCAGAGCCATCTGCTGAGAATGCCTGGCAGCATTCCCAGCAGGTGAAGTAGCCAGGGCCCCAGCCACCAGCTGGGACTCAGAGTAAAAATCAGTCTCAGAGCAAAACTGAAAAGCTAACCAAGGAACAATTGCCAAAGAAAAGAGCAAGAACCATGTCCTAAGAATTGAATCAACCAGAAGAGGGCCTCCCCTGGAGTCTGACATTGTTCCTAGTATGGCAGATGTGGGCCTCGGGCCACAGCACAGGAGACTGGAAAGAGATGCCTAAGGAGGAGAGGGCTGCTGCTGAAGCCCCTGGGTGGACTGTGCTCAACTTGATATAGAGTGGCTGTGGGCTCAGAAGACCCCAGATGTGGGAGCCAGAGAAGGGAAAAAAGAGGGAGTGTCCTCCTACGCACAGCAGGTTACTCTTAGGATGGGGCGGGGAAAGTAGGACTGACAGGATCCCAGTACCTGGTAATGACAAGGGGCTAATGGGAATCCAAAAGGTACTAGGTGGAGCCACTAGGTTGAGGCAGGGTCTAGACAGCAGAAAAAGACACATGTAGGAAACAGCATGAAAATGAGGCTCATGTTGAGAAAAAGGGTTATATTCATAGCTCTTCATTGAAAGGCTGAGGAGAAGGACATGGGGATGGTGTGGAATCGAAGACAGATTAGCGCCTTCTATTTCAATCCAGGGAGGGGAGTTACTAGGTCCAGGGTGGGAGCCCTGTCCTTCACATGTTTATGCCAAATTCTCATAGAGAAAATTAAGCGTCCTCTAGTGGCCGTCTTCCAACCCCCCAGCAAGCCTACACTTGTGGCCTTACTCAAGGCCTCCCTTCAGGTCCTAAGAAGGGATATCTCCGCAGCACAGTGAGCTGCCTTTCTTTCTGGAACCCACCAGCCTCCTACGCAGCCTCTACCAGACCAGAGGCTGGGGTACACTCTGTCTCCTGTTTGTTAAGGACTGTTAATCTTGCCTTCGCAGGGTTTCTCAATTCCAACATCCCACATACATCCTTACAGAAAGTCAAAGGTACTCTTGTTCAAACAGAACTGCAGGCAACCAGCACCCTCCCCTTATTACCTCAAACTCTTCAAATTTTTAAGGTGGGCATGTAGATTGGGCGTCTATATATTCTATTCAGTCCCTTATTCAAACTTGTCCAGGGCAATCTACAACAAGATGCTATTATTTTTTCCAGCTTCATATTCTCATCGAAGTCATGAATACGAATTCTGAATGGCCAGAGCCCAGGATAGGACCTAAGGTAATACTCTTTCACTTATCAGTACCCACTGGATCTCTTCAACCAGTTTTGACTCCATTTAAATGTACAAGTATCCGCTCCATACATCCATCCCTCTGCCTTGTTAAATGCATTGCTGAAGTTCAGTTATACTGTTATACCCTATGAGCTATCAAGTTTGGTGGGAAGAAAATGAGTCTAATATGGCTGATTTACTCTGTAGCCCCTCGTGAGCATTACTTTTCTGTATGCCAGTGCCTAGCACAGCACCAAGTAACAAACAGAGACAATAAATATCTGTGGGATTGAATTGCTACTGATAAATCTCAAGTATGACCTTACCCTCTCCTGAATCCACATGAGAAAAGAAGGGAAACAGAGAAAGTATACAATGTATCAGGCATTTATATTCACCATCTCTAATTCTACAGCTACTCTCTAAAGTAAGGTATTGTGTTCCCATTCTATAGACCAAAAAACTGAGGCTCATAGGAGAACTGACAGGTTAGAGTTCATAAAAAGTTACAGAGCTGGGATTCAAATACAGATGTGCCAGACTGCATGGTCTTTCTGCTATACCCCACTTTGTCATTACAACTTTCATACTCATGCAGCAGGTATTGTTTCTGCTATGTAACATGCAAATATCTCTCACCATGGAGAGGCCTACATCTCCTGATGTAGCCTGAGCGTGACTAAGAATTCCATGGCCTCAGTGTTCCCCCCCTAACAATATCTTGGGGAGCTGACTGTGGCATTGCCATGAGGACAGGCCTTTAAGTTAAACATAGGCCTCATGTAGAGAAATTCTGCCATCAAAGGAAGCGTCCTACACTGAGTGTTAGGAAATCTGGATTCTATGCTGCCCTCTGCCCCAATTTGTGAGGAAATTCACTTCCCCCATCTGGATCTCAGTTTTCTCAGCAGTAAAATGTGTTATCACAGAATTACTAAAGAGATCAAATGCATACTTGCAAATGAAAGCACTTAGAGGTATTTTGGAAATATTCAGATAGACATATCCAATAGGTAATTAGGAACATCGATGTGGAGTTTGAGAGAGACAGGAGCTGGAAAAGCCGATGTGAGAATTGCCAGGTCCCTTCAGTGGAACCCTGGGTTGAACCCCATAGTTCTAAATGAATCTATGATGGTTAATTTTACGTGTCAACTTGACTGGGCCAGGGGATGCCCTGATAGCTGGTAAAATCATATTCCTGGGTGTGTCTATGAAGTTGTCTTCATAACAGATGAGTATTTGAATTGGTAGACTGAGTAAAGAAGATCATCTTCACTAAGGAGAGGGGGCATCATCCAGTCATCCACAGGCTGCTCAGGGCCTACATAGAACCAAAGAAAGAGGAAAGGTGGATTTGCTCTCTCAGCTTGAATTGCGACATCTGTCTTCTCCTGCCCTCTTACATCAGTACTCCTTGTTCTCCAGTCTTCAGACTCACAGGGACTTATACCATCAGCCCTCTGATTCCTTGGCCTTTGGACTTGGACTTACACCATCATCTCCCCTGGTTCTCCAGCTTGCAGATGGCAGATCATGGGAGTCTTGGCCTCCGAAATTACATGAGTCAATTCCTGTAATAAATCTCTTATACACATCTATATTCATATCCTATTGGCTCGGTTTCTCAAGAGAACCCTAAATAATGCAGAATCTATAAATTATTGTATAAGAGAGGAAAATCGAGAAATCAAGCGCCTATTCTATGCTTAACAAATGATGTACTTCTTCCCATCGTAATCCATTCTTCAATTCCTGCTACCTCCCTTCTCAGCCCACCATAGTCCGCAGAGATCCTACCATTCCTTTCCCTCTGAACTAGGATTCCCTGATCAATCCACTCTTTGGACAGGTAAACATGGCTTACCTCTAGCTATCTCAGGAACTGCCTTGTTTGTTTTTTAGATTTCACATCAGTCACCTTTTCTCTTACAGTTTGTAAGTTTCTCAGGGCCAGGCACAAGACCAATTTGTCTCTGTAGCCCCATGCTGAGCATACAATCTGACCAGAGCAAGTGCTCAGCAAAGGTGGGAAGGAGAGAGAAAGAGTAGGTAAAAGAAGTGTTAACCCAAAAAAGGAGGCGGAGAAGTTTACAATATAAAGTACACATGAAGGCAAATACCAGCTTCTGGGGACATGAAGAATATGGCCAGCTGTCCTGCACAGCCCCTACACAAGCTCAGCTCTCAGAATCCACCTCACACCCAGGGAACCTAGCCAGGGCAGAAAGACCACGGAGGTTTCATGAGAGCAGATGTGGCTGGCCGTGTGAACAGAGCTAACCCAGGGAGCTGGCTGGGACCTGAGAATCCAGAGGGTGGCAGAATTCCTAGCCTGAATGCTGCAAATAGATTTCAGCAAAACGAGGTCAACTGTTAACACAGTCAGGCCTAAGGCAGGGGAGAAGAGTGTAAACTAATGAGACGCTGACATGTTAACAGAGTCAGGGGTAATGGTGAGAATTTTCAAGGTACCAGTTAGCACTGAGAACGTGAGCCTCTAATCTTGTCACTTTCTGGAATCCCCACTCCCAATCCATTCTCTCCACCCTCTACTGCCCACAATAACTTGCCCCTGGCAAATACAGATATTCATCTCTTACTGCCAAAATATGTGCTAGGAATTTCTTTTGTCATTTACACAGTCTTCTGTGCTAAGGTGTCTGTTTAACCTGGAACAACTATTCCTGGGCCCACCTCCCTTTTGGTTATAGTCCCAAAAGTGCTCTAACTGCCTCACCTACCAAAGATGCTCCACAGGTGGCAGTTCTCCTCACAACCAAGCTGGAAAGGATTCTTCTAACATTTCCCTTCAGTCCTGTCGCCCTGGCAAGTCCCAGACTCCTCCTGTCTAACTTGGAGGATACAACACCTGACACCTACTCCTTGCTGGGCCTTATGCTAAGTGCTGATGACAGATAAAGAAAGCTCTTCCTACCCTTGAGGAGTTCCCAGTTTAAGTGGTAGCAGACAGGGAAACAGAGTGTTCCAAAGAAGTATTTACAAAGGGCTGTGGCTTCCCAGAGGAGAGTAAGAGAGAAGGGTTGAGAATGCCTGGGAAGAGGCTGCAAAGGCATCCTGGAGAGGGCTCGAGGGGTGAATTGGAACATAACAGAAAGGAGAAAGAAGTAAGGATAGAGCTGACAGAGACCAGAGCAAGCTTTGCCAAAGAGGCAGCCACTCCTTCTTACCAAGGACTCTTCCCTATTATCTGAGCCACTGAAGAAGGCAGACAGGGTTTAGTCTTGTCTTTTCCTTTCTAAAACTACCCCCAACACCAACAATTCCTTGGCAGGCCTCTCCCCACACCCTTCTCAATACTCCTGCTGAAAACACCAAGGGCACAGCAGCCCTGGGCCCAAGACTGACCACAGCAGGCACACTGTACACAGAAAATAGCAGCTACCATTTGTTTGGGGGAAATTGGGGCCTAGACAACCTTGAGAATATGCCAAAGGTCATAACACTTCTGAGTGACAGAGCCAGTTTGCTTGATGTCAAAGCTGGAACTCTTTTTATAACTTGTTTCCTCTAACAGAAGTGAAGTGTGGGGGTATAGAGTGGAAAAGATCACTGGGTTGGAGTCATGGCTCTGCCATGTAAAAGCTGAATGACTTCTAAAAACTCACCTCACCTCTGAGCCTCATTTTCTCTGAGAAAGTATCTTCAGAGGAGAAAAAGCCCCCTCAACAAATGACCTGCTGCCACAGTGAGACAACAGCTTAGGCCTCAAAGTGGACACTGCCTTTGGGCCTTTGTTTCTCAGAGGGTGCCGCACACCTGACTACTGACACTGTTAGGGGAGCCCCCACAAGGGCCTCCAAGCCTACAGCCAACTTCGCAGAGTGGAAAAGTCTGTAAAAGGCCATGTGCAGCTCTGTGGCCACATGGGGAGGACTGAGATGTCTTCTACTGTCAGAAAATGGACCCTGAGGTGACCCTCTGCTGAGCCAGTCTGATCCCTTTCTCCTCTTCCCAAGCTTTGAAGCTGCTGTGAGCCCATGGGTCCTGCTCACTCAGCAGACCGTCCTAGCTGCTGCACAAAACACCTTTGATTTTGAAATGTCTCACTCCTCAGACCAATGGCAGGATTTTCATTAAGGCTGGGCAAGGTAGCCATGGCTGGCAGCTGTAACTGGCCCAGGTTCGCTGGAGTGTTTATCTACCACATGCCTTATGATGAGGCATGAGAACCATAGTCTTAGGAACCATCCAGGTGCAGAACACAGGTCAGAGCCAGTGTAGTCCCGCATGGGTGTCGGACAGGAAACAGCACTGAACTAGGGGTTTTAGTCCATGCTCAGATGGGAACACAGAGCTTAGAGGGACACAGATCAAGAGATTCTCTGCAGGTACCGCCAGGCACAGCCCCATCCCTGCAGGAGTCTCCTGGCAAAGAGCTTCCTGATATTTTCCTCAGATTCCAGCTGGCAATTTTCAAGATTTTTCTTTAACAAACATCAGCAGGAAACTATAAAAACAATATTTGCCATCAGGTCAAATGCTGGATTCCAAAATAGCTCCCAGGAGTATATGCAGCTCTATCTGAATCCTTGAATAAGAGCCAGTGAGAGCCTCACTGACCAAGCCCATCTTACAGGTGAGGAAACCTAATGCTAGGCAGGAGAACTGAATTGACAAAGATCACTGGATAAGGCAAGGGCCACAGAATTCTTAAAGTACAGGATATAGACAGTAGGAGTAAGGAAAAGACCTCCTGTCTTTTACACAGGACCCTTAATCAATCAAAGGGTTTCTCCCCAAAATTATAGAACATAGCAGCTGAAAGGATTCTTAAGGATCCATTAGCCCAATTGTTTTATGATACAAATCAGAAAACACATCCTGAAAAAAGTGACCTAAACAAGGTTGCACAGTGAGTGGCAATTTTGAAAAGAGACCAAGGCACTTTCCTAAATTTTATAAGTTCTCTATATGAAAGTCCAGGAATTACAAAACAAATCTAGATGTACATGATGATGATGACTGAGATATAATTCACATTTCCTAAAATTCACTCCTTCAAAATCAATTCAATGTACAACTATCAGCACAATTAATTTCAAAACATTATCATTACTCCACAAAGCAATCCCATACCCACGAGCCGTCACTTCCCATTTCCCACCCTACATATCAGCTGCTTCTCTGGAGTGGTTCTTGGCTCTAGAGCATTCTGTTGCTGGCTTCCTCAACTGATGCCAACAGCTCTCAAAGAGCAGGGAGTGAACCCTAAGAGCCTGTTGCGCCAAGGCTAATTTTCTAAGAAATATTTGTTCTCCCTGAGTACGTTTAGAATAAGAAAAAAGATTTCAGGCTCTTGAAGGTCTTAAGGAGCTGAACCACCTAATTTTCTCATCTACCTCCCAGCTGAAGAAAATGCTCTTTAGGCTTGAGTGTGTCTCTATTGCTGCAGTGAAAGCCCACTTAGTCCCCTGTGGATATAGAGGGATGCAAGGTGTTCAGCAATGAATTCATACATTCTGAACAGCCACAGTGAGAGCAGGGAACAGCTAAATAGCATTCAGCCCCTATGGGTTACTTTTATCCCTGAGCATAACTTTCGTATTTTAGCCTTTGTTTTCCTGCTCGGGTCTTTTCCTCCACCTAGAACACCCTCTCTAGCCATCTCTGTGGAATAAAGCCCCAGCCATCCTTACAGACAGAGTTCACATGCCACTTCTTCAATAGCATACCTCCTCCATCCCTCCTATGGACTTCAGAAGCACTGTGTACCTCTCTAGAATATTCATTTTTATCCCTTTAGGACAGAACATGATTCATCCAGGTCTTCCTATAGGTTCCAGCATAGCACTGGCACAAAGCAGATGTTTTATTAATGTATTTAATGAAAGGATGTTGATATCTGGATGGATTAAAATGTAAAACCATTTCATATCTCAACAGCAGTAGAAAAAGTGGAGGAACTGCTTTGCAGATGTGCCTAGGAGACCCAGAACCTCAACCTAGACACCCCAAAAGCCTTGGATCCCATGGCACACCGGCAGCCCTTCTCTCCACAGGACTCACAGAGAGGAGGCCCAAAGAGCACTGTGTCCAGAGCCTTCAGCTGCAGCTTCTGTCGATGACTCCGGTCTGTCATCTTCAGCACAGTCCCTGTCATGGTGGTGTTGGTTACAGCGAGCCTGTTGAGGTAAAGAGTAGGTGCTCAGTTCCCTGCCAGCAAAGCCAGGAAGGATCCCGGTAAAACTGCCCACATCCTTCAGGTGCACGTCCATGACTTCTAGCTCCTGGCGAGCTCCCTCCTGCACTCTACAACACGGAGGCTATACAGGGCACATGACCTTTACCAGAACTTGTTCGCCCTTCTTCACATGTCCACCTCTCCTGAGCATCCTACTCTCTAAGGATTATCCATTTGTGACCACTCCCAGACCCAACTGTAAATTTTCTGTTACGCTTCCTCTTACAGAGATTACCTACTCTATATCTGCTTCTACACTCCCACCATTTGTCAATGCATTTTCCTGACCAGCCCTTTCAAAACATCACCCTACATGATGTAGTGATTCTGGAGACCTCTGAATTATCCTAATCCTAACCTGATTAAATATATGTAATAATAAATATATTTAATATTCATTAGATATAAAGCTGCTGCTGACAAACACTGTACATCTTGTTAGCTTATACTTGAATCACTGTAATTTGCTCCCAATCAGATTACTGTAATTTTTTATGACCTTCAACCATATTGTTAATAATATCTCTAATAAGAGTGGGCCTGTAAACAAGAAAATGACCTCAGAAACACAAGACTTTGTTTCTCTTCTGCTGGAACACAGTGGGTATAAGAGGAAAAGAGTCTAAGATATGAAAGGTTGAAAATCCACTTCTCTGGGTCCCACACGTGGGCATTTACTACTTTACTACTCTATAAGGTCAGTACTCTTTTCAAATGCATATCTTTGTTTCCCTGAGTAGAAAAGAAGCTTCTAACATCACAGTGTGTGTCTATACTCCTACCTGGGCATGCAGGAGCACTAGTTCTTTCTCTAGCCCTGGGAAGCAATTGAGTCCACCTACAGGAGAGGCGTGAGACACTGATGGGAAGTGGGAGGGTCAGGAGACCTAGTTTCTGGTCTCAGTTCTATCATTCAGTGACTCACTTGTTCAATCATAAGCTGCTGGGTCCCTCCCCTGGGGCCTCAGTTTCCTTCTGCGTAAATTTCTATAAAATCAGATGCTTCCTTCAAGTCTGGGAATTCTTGGGCTCCTCTTCAGAGAACTTCTACCAGATACACTGGACTTCATCTGACTGATCAATATAAGTGTCATCTTTCATACAGTCTATTTGTCAAAGAAACCTGTGAACTTGAATACTGTCTATTTCTAAGCAATAAGAGAAATGAAAAACATTTACTAGTTAACATTTACTAAGCAACTACTGTGTATCTTCTACTGTTCTAACACTTTATATACAATACCTCAATTAGTTCTCAGGATTTTAAGAACCCAGTTCTATTATTAACTCCACTTTACAGGTATGAAAACTGAGACTTAGAGTTGAGTAACTTGCCCAAAGTCACACAGCGAGTAAGTGGCAAAGCCAAGACACAAACTTAAATCTGCAAGATTCTTTTCATTATACAATGCTGCCTAGTGACGGGCCTAGAACCATCCCTACTCTATGCACTGAAGGCGCCCTGCTTCTCGCTGTCACCAAGGCAGCTTGGCTTCCCCTATTCCTGAGTCCAGCTTAGCTAGATCTGGTCTTAGATCTAATCCTAACCACAAGAGGGCTAAGTGAGCCCATGACCAGAAAACTGACTTCTCATCCTAAGCTTTACAGTTTTATTCTAAGCCATAGCCATTCCTCAAGACAAAGTGGTACAGTGATCCACAAGGCACTACTGCTATTGCCATGGGTAATGAGAAAGGAACCTAAATCCTGGAGTTCATAGTCAACCATCTTTTCAGTTGCTGGTCTTTTCCATTAAACATGGAGTTCCTAAAGGCAGATGTGAGGTCTAATGTATGTCTTTGTCCTCAGGGCCCAGGAGAGAGCATAGCATATGGTAGGTGCATGGTAAAGTCTTGTCAAATAAAACTACACTGAATATTTCCAAGAAGTCCATCTTCAACTACATAGGGCAAGAGGAAAATGTAATGAAAAAAGGAGGGTACTTTGAGGCAGATCTGGGTTCAAATCCCAGCTCTGCTGCTCATCGGGTTGAATAAATCATAAAACACTTGAAATTTAGTTTGTTCAACTGAAAGCTGGGACAGTAATTTTTTCCTCCCAGAGTTGTGAGAATCAACTGAAATAATAGTTAGGAAAGCACTCTATAATGGGATGTACAAACGTTAAGATTATTACTCTCTCCAGAGTAGGGATAAACTGTGAAAAGGAGGCTGCAGGCAGCAGAGAGGGAACAGCCAGCGCAGCTAAGACTGGACAGCAGTGCCTGGTAGCTCTGTGGCTGGAGGCTGTAATGTGTGGGCATTCCAACAGCTTCACCCTCCCCTTTCCCCCTTGCTGAAGCTCATAACCAGATGCACCTACATAATAGGATGACAGATTATACACAATCAGCACTTACCAGACAATAAGCCCTTTGAGGACAAGGGCAAGTTGTTGTCATCTTTATCCCCAGTACCCAGCACAAGTGCTTAACACAGAGCAGGTACCCAGTAATATTTTTTGAATGAATAAGTAAATGGATTATTGACTGGATGACATATGGTAGCAGTCTGACATAACAAGAAGTCCAAGCAGTATCCCGTCTCCTCCCCACTCCCACCCCAAACCCTGGCATATTGTACTTGTAAAGAAGGCAAAGTCAGGGCACAATAGCTACTGGAAGAGTCATTCCAGAGAGGAGCTGGGTCCAATGGTAGTCAGGCCCCACCTCTGCATGATTTCTTTAGGTTATGTGGTATATGAATAATTCAAGGGAGGCTAAAAGAGCCCTGAGACTCCTGGACAATAAAAGAGGCAGCTCTTGGGGGTACAGCAAAAGAAAAGAGAAACACCACAGGCTTTGAAATCTACCCAGATCTAGAGTTTTGCTTTTAACTAGCCATGTGACCTTGGAAAAGGTCACTTAGCCAGTTTCATCATCATCATACAATAATACCTACCTTATAGGAGTAATGTAAGAATTAAATGAGATACTGTATAAAATGTGTTGAAGTAGAATGCTTGGCATGCATTAAGCACTCAATAAATGGCAGTTATTAGTACTATTCCCAGTATTGATAGAAATATTAAATAAGAAAATGAATGCTACGTAGCCATCATGCTTTATAGAAAGTGCAGAGTAGATGTGAAGACAGGTCTATAGATTCTACCCTAAAAAGGATGTGACCTTATTTAACTGTCCAAGAGCTACCTGAAGGCAGGCTGACTCCAGTCCATTCACTGTACCCCTAAGTGAGAAAACCGTCTCCTCCTGACCTTGGCATGGCATGGCCACTGAGCTGCAGCTTCCGGAAGGTCTCCTCATACTGAGGCAGCTCCACATATGTGATCAGCCACTGCACCACCTCATCCACGGTCCAGTTGTATACTGTGGGAAGAGACAGGAAAGCCATGATTCCAGAATGCCAAGCACTGCTTGCACTTACTGTCACAGTCATATTGACCTTAACATTTACCACATGTTTATGTGTTTAACATCTCACTCTCCCATAAAATCCTATGTATAAAAGGAATATGTGTTCTACTTTTTATTTATGTATATATACAGGGGTGGGCAAAAGTAGGTTTACAGCTGTTCATATGAAAAAAATCATTAATAAATACATAATAATAAAAGAATAAACTCTGTGTTTTGCATACTCACAACTTTTGCCCACCTCTGTATATACATATATATTATGTTATATAGAGAGATGGATCCAGATAATGTCACTTAAGCCCTGAGTCAGGTCATACCAGTTGACAGCCCTATTCACAAGTGTTTTTAGTCTTGTGCAGCAAGTAAATATCCCCTTTTGTTTATATCAGACTGAAAAGATTTTATGTCACAACAAGAAATTATTTCTAACTGAAATAATTACTGAGCGATCACTCACAACATAGCAAATAACATCATTATCCTCCATGGTCACTGCAGCTAATCATTCCTCAATATTATAATGTTGTGATTTTTAAATGGATAATTATAAAAATAATTCTCTTAAAATAATCTTAATATTTGTGTGGTGTTTAGACACATAGATAACAAACTTATCCATACTTTGTCAAGAGTCAACAAGAAAGGAATAAAAGTGGACTTAATACACAAGGAATTAAGTTCAAGCCAAGTGAAGGTCAAATGACATCATGATGTATTATATAAATCAAAATTTCACAGTAGCTTGAATAAAGAAAGACGGTGGGAGGACTGAGTCATCAGATGGAACCAGTAATAAAGGCATGCTGAACATAAAGGGCCTGGGAGCAATTGAGTTTCAGCAAAAAGGTATCATTTTATTGGATTTGAAGTTTGTTTTTATTTCATGTATATATCTGTTTTTGTTTCTATTTGCATACAAATTTTATATTGCAACTTAAACATCATTTTATGCTTATACATATTTAAGTAACATTATAATGAAAATAAGTCAGCGTTTCAGGTCATAGATAAATTATTTCCCTTAAAAAGAATTTGTACATTCTTCAAGTTTGAGAACTACTGCTGTGAACAGCAAGAACCCTAAACAGTTTGAAGCAGAATGAGATGGCGAGATCTATCATCCTCCTTGCTTAAGAGTCGTGTCTTTACCAAAAACTATCTTTCCTCAGAATGCTAATTTTCCTTTAGCAATTAGGAAACATTAAGTCATAGACCAAGTCCCATTCATTTTTGCTCACTCAACTGTCTCTAAAATAGAGCTTCATATACAGTGATATTAATAAGGATTTACTCAAAGAATAACTACTCTAAATGAGGAGTTCAAGAAATGTTGTGAATGTGAGCCAAACAGTAATAACGGTCTCCTTAGGCTAATATACAGCTTGTGTAAATGGTCAACTTCTGAAGTCTTTGTCAAAAAAACAGGCATTCCTCTGGTAGGCACACCTCACATCTTAGGCTGTTTCTGTCATTTTCACATAAGGTAGAGAATTTGGAAAGCTGGGCCCTGTCTATTCATTGTCCTACTCCCCCTACAGTGGAGCCCAGCACTGGTCCAAAGCAAACCCTTAGAAAGATATCCCAAATGAAACCAAGTTGAAGGCATAACTGCTCCTATCTCTTCATGTTCCCAAGCAGCTACTGGAGCTCAGGAGGAAAGTCCTGAAGTCAACAGAGTTTGGAGGTAGATTAGACTGTTTGCAGAGACACAGGAGGTGAGAAGAGATAGGTGCCATGGGACAAAATGAAGCAGGTACAGTGCCCTAAGATTGAGTCCTAAAAGACAAGCTTCTAGAGGTGTAGGTGAAGGTGTCTAGTCATTGCTTAGTTAAGTTTCTAATTCCCAGACTAAAATACATTGGAGGGGAAAAAAAAAAGTAATTAATTCCAAGAGATATGTTCAAATTTTAGCCTTTGGGAAAGAAGGGGTTACAGAGCTGGGATTGAAGAGGCATTACAGAAAGTAGAATGTATGAGCCATGATTCCTGAAAATGAATATATAGTCACACACATTACAAATATGATCATTTACTATGGTTTGGAGTATCAGTTAATAAAGGCATAGTAGAATGACACACAGACATGAGGCAGACAGACAAGTGCTAGCCTGTAAGGTACAGAGAACAACACGCTCTTGCCACTGCTGCCAACCAAGCTCAGCCTCATCCAGGACAAAGGGGCCTTTCTGCTGGGCACGTGGAGTGGAAAGAAGTCCACTTTTTTATTGCTAGAAAGGCCTGAGGCCAGTGGAGCTACAAAGGCTTTTTGTCTACTGGAGGACGTCTTGCTACAAGCCTGAGCGTAGACCTTTGGTGTGCAGGAACTCCTCTGTCTGCACCCTACACTGCCGAGGAGACAGGCAGGAGTTACTCTAGTCCAGGGCTTCTCAGTCTCTGCACCACTCATATTTTGAACAGGATACTTCTTTGTTTGTGAGGGGCTGTCTTGTGCATTGTAAGATGTTTAACAATGTCCCTAGCATCTACACGCTAGGTGTCAATAGCATGCTGCCAGTCATGACAATCAAAAATATCTCCAGATAATGCCCAATGTTCCCAGGGGACAAAATTGCCCCTGACTGAAAAACCACTGTCCTAAACACTACAGTAGGTGAGACAGAGGGTTTATAAGGGCATCACTGCAATCTGGTGAGAAAGGACTCTGCGCACACTTGGCCCCTACTTATAGCCAAGCTATAAGGAAAAAAGATAATAGCTTCAGTATGTCAGGCCAAACCTCAAAGCGGTTGGTTTTGGCTTTTGGTTTTTGTGCCCAACATATCATTCTGCTGCCTACGCAGATGCCCTACCTAGGTAGGGCGTGGCAGTATGGTGTTTTCCAACCAGAGTCACTGCAGTCTGAACAAAATAAACCAGGATGAGCTACATTCTTGCCAGATTAGCAATCCCATGTCCCAGCATGAAGAACTCAATTGATAGTCGAGTTGAGATATAAGAATCCCTTGTCCCTAAGGTTCAAGTACCTAAAAGTTAAAAGCCTTGCTCTGCTTTCTCATTCCAAAAGAGAAAATGAAAAGTTTCTCTGGGCCAAAGTAAGGAAGAAGGCAACAGCTAGGGATATAACAATATACAAAAGAGTATCACAGATTCCTGATGCTTATATTCTAGTGGAGAGAGACAAACTAACACTATACACAAATAAATGTTCGGTAGTGGTAAGTGCAATGATTAAAAACAATGCAGGGTAAAATGATAAAGAGCAATGCTATAACAGATGTAATTACTAAAGGCCTCTCTGATGGGGTGACATTTGCGCAGAAAATTAAATAAAGGTGTGAGCCATGTGACTACTTGGGGGAAGGTCCTTCTAAGCAGATAGAATAGTAAGTATTACTCCCTAGCACTTGAGCTATAGCCATACCTCCAGGGATATGCCAGGACAGTTGCTTGGCCTTGGCCAATCCCTTCTCTTGCCAGGGAAAGAATAAGCAGTAAGAAATGGGCTCTGGAATCAGTATTCCTTTTCCATAATGGATCAGTGGTGCCTCCAAATGAAGCCTCGCTTACTTTTATGGTTTCAAACCCACATCCCAAAAGATCTATGTCTGGCAGGAAGACTGCCAGTGCTTACTTTGCCTCTCCTCCACATAGCTGTAAGTAGTTGGTCATTCGGTCAGCCTTTGGTCAGCCTTTTGGTCAGCCAGTCACATTCAACACAATGATTAAGAATGTGGGCTTTGGAACCAGGTGCCTTGGTTTGAATTTGGGATCTGCCAGTTATGAGATGTAAGACCATGAGCAAGTTACTTAACCTTTCTGTGCTTCATTTTCGTCACCCATAAAATGGTGAGAATCAGAGTTCCCATATGATAAGAGTATAGTGGAGATATGGGAAGCTCCTTGCATATAGTAAGAGCTAAAGAAATATTAGTTATTATTATTTTCACCATTTATTCATTCATTCCCCAAGCTTTCATTGGCTTCTACTCTAGTAGGTACTGGGTGAGTTACTGGGTACAGAAATCAATCTGCATGATCTCCATCACATGGGCTCTCTTCTAGAGAAGGAGACATACAAGAAAATAAATGAGTATAATACAGTATGATAGGTGCTAGGTCAGAGCGATATATGGGGTGACATGGGAGAAAGAAGTGACTAACAGCTGGAGTGAGTAAAAAAAAAAAAAAAAGCCTTGCTTTTTATCTGGCTACTCTGGAAACAGAGCACTCCAATACAACTACAGAATCTTACCAAAGTGGCCTTCCCTAAAGATAGTTTGTGACCTAGACCTATGGTTTGTCTCTCTGAGTGGTTTCCTCTAGCTTTCACTAGCAGCTTGTCATCCATGCCTAGAGTTATTATCAAGCCCTTAATCATCATTGCAAAAAAAAAAAAAAGCTGGCCCCTCGCCTAGGCCTCATGTGACAGGCCCTCTAAGCTACCTGGCAAAAACCAGGTCTACAGAGCTGCAGAGTAGTAAGAGAACCTAGGCTTTGGAATTGAATAAGCCAAACAACTTGTATAAGATCACACAATGATAGAGCCAAGGACAAACTTTTGTCTCCCACATCCCTACCCTGAACCAGACCAGTGCTAAGTGTTGAGATACAGAATCATACAAGGTAATGACCTCAAGCAGTGTGGTAGAAACACAAGCAGGGGAACAGATCATTGTAATTAATGTGCTAAGTGCCACAATGAGATAAGAGAAAGAGGCTGTGGGAACGCAGAAGGAGACACCTAACCTAGCCTGTGGTTTCCAGGAAAGATTTCCCAAAGAAAGGGAAACTTAAGTTGAGTCTTGATTGCCAAGTAGGATTTAACCAGATCAACAAAGGAGAAAGGACATGGGGGAACAGCACGTAGGAAAGCACCAAGGGATGAGAAAGAATGACATATTCTAGTAACTGCAGATAAATCAGTGCAGCTACAGAGAAAGAGAAGTGATGAAGAGTAACAGAAAATAAGAAAGTCAGTGAATCACAGA